CATCCAGCATGGCTATTAACATTTGAGTATAGGTCCACTTTTGGAAAGCTTCATGGCACCAGCATGGTGTCACGGTATGGCAAAACTGCAGGGAGCCATCAGCAACCCAAATGCCTATCAGGAAAGGGTTACTTTGTTCTCTGGGCAGGATAAAGCTATTTTTTTCACAAAGATTTAAGGAACATACATTAGAATGTTGTATGCTAGGATTAAAGAGATCATGTTATTAGTAGTGATGTTTTACTCTAACAGTAAAATAAAGTCATGGGCAAATTGCAGGACTAAACCTGGAATTTATTCAATGGCTATTCAGTATACATAAAGGATACTTAGCAGAAATAATTCAACTGTCAACTCACTAAGGGCTTGTTCACACACAGCACTTGCTGCCTCTATGAAAAGAGATCCATGTCGGATCACTTTTTAGTGGAAGTTTAACAGGTGGCTAAGAGGCGATATGTCACTTTCCTCAACAACTATTATAACCTTGTAAAAACTGCACCACCATGCTGCAACTGTGTGCATTGTAAGTGGGTGCAGGCCGGGTGCTGCGCAAATCTGTTCAATCCACTAGGGGTATACAAAACGTCTTTGTGACCAGATCTTCTTTCTTCTGTTTACAGGACACAAAGTTCTTTCTTTGGTGTCAATGCCACTGCCTGTGTGATGTAGACATTCCTTATAGGCTGCCCGGTGGAAGTGTTCTCTCAGGATTCAGAACAGGGGTCTTAATGATGATGCCAGCATGATTGGACTGGCCAGTACTAGATTACTGGTCCCCTGCAACCAGAACAGTGCCAGCAAGGGGCCCAGCCTGGGTTGAGAAAACTTGCTTTAAAAGGTAGAGATTGTCTTTAAAGAGATCATTCAATGAATTCAGTATATATGCTAATCATAGGAACCTTGTGCACATAAAAAAATTTGTAACATCTGGTCATCACTTACCGTATGGGCTTGGGTTCCACATGATTGGAAATCTTGAAAATCAACAGAAAAAAAATATTAGATAATGGAAATATCAATCTTTGAATTTTATTTCAGTCTCAGATGATGTATCATGTAATTTAAAAACCTAGTCTACCACTGGCAGAGCTACAGCCAGAGCAGCCCATGTGGCTGCAATGCTGTCTATGGAGCCTGAGAGCAGGGAGGGGCATTAGACAAGGCCCATTATGGCTCTACTTACTTGCCCATCAGTGGAGAGACTAGTGAAGAAAAATCTCCTCTCTTCCCTCTCTGGTAAGTAACTGGATTTATCTGACTCCATCTCTCACTGACTACCAATGTAAGGTGAATTCTTGATAACCACCTTTGTCAAAGGTCTTTCCTACCGACTAGCAGTGTTCTCCAGTATTTCACAAAGGTTCCCCACCAATGGCTCTTTGTAATATATATATTTATATATATATATATATATATATATGTACACATTTATTCTACATAATTATATATATATATATATATATATATATATTATGTAGAATAAATGTGTACTAAATTGTAAATTAAATCTATTTTTGCCTTATCTCATGTTTATGCGTCATTAAGTTTTTTTTTATAAACTGTGTAAAATTACAAATGTTTAATCATTACAGCATTCAAAAGTGATAAAAAAAATAATAATATAAATATAGTGTTGAAACAGAATTAGAAAATATAGCTACAAACAGATAACATTGTGTAAGTGTATGTAAACCCTAAATTTTTTTTTCAGCATGTTTGATATCATTGCTAACTGGATACCATTTTATTACGCAAATAGTCTTTTTTTAAATCTGTTGCTTGAGGTGATTGTAGCCATATTAGTGCATTTGCGGCAGAAACAATTGAGTACTGACGTGATACTTTTTTTATTTGCACTAACAAACAATTATTAAAAATTATTTAAATCTGTTGAAAACTTTTTTTTTAAACCTGGAGATCCTACCAGTAACAGCCCTTCCTGTTACAGTCTGACAGCGATAAACCATTGCTTCACAATTAGCAGCAGCATTGTCAGCCTGCCATGCAAGCTCCTTTAGTTGGCTGTCGTGCTGATCATGTAATAAATCTGATAGGCATCACAACAGCAAACTGAAAAATAGTACACAGTAGGCTGACAATGCTGTTGCTAATTGACAAGCAGTAAATGATCTTTGTCACTCTAGAACAGGAATAGATGTTAGAGCTCGTTCACAAGTGCTGCAGGAACTGACACTCTTCTGAAAGCGATCCACGTTCAGATCGCTTTTTAGACATGTTTGACAGGTGGTCAGACATAACCCATATTGCCTCCTTGCTGCCAGATTCAACCCTATAATTGGTGCAGTGCTGTGCAGCAGTCACATGCATTGCACTCGGTTACGATGTGGTTCCAGTGTAGCCTCATAGAACTGCATTCGTTTGGTGGTGACACTGCCCGCCAAAAGCGACATGCTAAGTTTTGTTATGCCAGCAGCATGTGTAGAGACATGATTGGCTATATTATCATATCAGGTCTCACCTGATCTCATCTGTAAATGAACCCTTACTGGCAGAATCACCAGGTAAGAAATTTTGCAACAGACATAAAAAAAAATTGTTTCTAAACTGTGTAAAGTGAGACATGATGCCAAACATAATAAATAAATAGTTGTTGGCATTTCATACACTTTAAAGTGATTGTGAACTTACCTGCTCTGTGCAATGGCTTTGCACAGAGGAGCCTCAGTCCTCCTTGGCCCCTCTACTTCTCTGTGTGCCACCATAGAAAGCAACTTCCTATGGTGGCACATGTGCAGGCTTGATTCCCAAGCCGTGCTGTGTGTGTCTATTAACATGCACAGTGTGGCTCGGCTCCACCCCCCCGATCCTGGTCACTGGATTTGATTGACAGCAGCAGTAAATGCCTTCTGCTGCTCTCACTGAGTCCAGTGAGGAGGGGAGAGAGAGAGCAGCAGGCACAGTGCTGGATTGAGGTCTGGTATTTAGTGGGGGTCTGGGGGGGGGGACTTACAATAAAAGAGAATGCATTAAGGTAAAAGAAAACCTTCAACCTTTACAACAACTTTAAATACAGATATATTTCAGGCTCTAAAACATATGACATATTTCTACATGCTTGTGTAAGATTCTAACCATATATCACTAGTTTATAGAAAGACATCCTAATAACTATAATGACTGACTGGGTGGCAGGATCAACAACACGGAACTGTTCTCTCTTTTTAACCACTACCTGGCACTTTCACCCCCTTCCTGCCCAGGCCAATTTTCAGATTTCAGTGCTGTCACACTTTGAATGGCAATTACTGAATCATGCAACACTGTACCCAAAATAAAAAATTTTAATATTTTTTGAGACAGATAGAGCTTTCATTTGGTTGTACTTAATCACCACTGTGATTTTTTTTTTGGCAAGCAAATGAAAAAAAGACTTGAAAATTTTTAAAAGAGAATGTTTTTTTCTTAGTTTCTGTTAAAACGTTTTGCAAATAAGTAATTTTTTTCCAGAATTGATGTACGCTGATGAGGCTGCACTGATATGCAGCACAGATGGGCACTAATAGACGGCACAGATGGGCACTGGTAGGCAGCACTGATGGGCACTGGTAAGCAGCACCGATGGGCACTGATTGGTGGCACTAATAGGCGGAACTGTTGAGGAGGCACTGATAGGTGGCACTGATGGGCATTGATAGGCAGCACTGATGGGCACTGGCAGGCAGCACTAATGGGAACTGATAAGTGGAACTGATGAGGAGGCCCTGATAGGTGGTACTGATGGGCACTGATAGGCAGCACTGATGGGCACTGGTAGGCAGCACCTATGGGCATTGATAGGTGAAACTGATGAGGAGGCTGTGATAGGTAGCACTGATGGGCACTGATTGGCATTTATGGGGCTGCATGCTGGAGCTCCCTCCCCTCTCACCTTTTTACCTCATGGTGTAAGGAACACTTGTCAGAAGTGACTCATGCAGATAGCAGAGGAATGAGGCAGCAGATAGAAATGACACTTAGTATTCTGGATGCAAGTATACACTATGGAGGGCTATGCTTTCTTCATATTTCATGTCTGAGGTTTACAACCACTTTAAATTGGTCACAAAAATTAGGATTTGATTGTATAGTTCCTGTACAATGCCCTATATGCTAACCATGCATGATATCCATTCGATCTACCCCTAACTATATCATGCAAGGCCCACTTTATTGGATACAGATTGATTGTGTCACTTAGGCAGACCGTTACAAAAATATTGTAAATCTAAAATATATTGGGGTTGATTTACTAAAACTGGAGAGTGCAAAACTGGTGCAGCTCTGTATGGTAGCCAATCAGTTTCTAACTTCAGCATGTTCAATTAAGCATTGACAAAAAAAAAACCTGGAAGCTGATTGGCTACCATGCACAGCTGCACCAGATTTTGCACTTTCTAGTTTTAGTAAATCAACCCCATTGCATAGATATTGTACAATGAAAATGTTTTGTGTATTGCCAGCTTTCAGTTTCTAAATTTTTATGTACTATATACTGTAGGTTTAGCATAATCTCCTGCTCATTTCCTCCAAACTTTGTGGTGCAGGGAAAATCTGATTGAATGTAAACAGACTGTATTGTTTAGATAGGCCCTAGTACTGCACAGATGTTGGTAAATCTAAAGTTAACCCTGAACTCCGGGAAAACTAAAAGTTAACTGCTTGTTTATGCTTTGGAGAACAGGATACAGCAGTTGTGTCTACTTGTTCCTCTGCTCCCACACTGCTAAACTGGTACCTACAGACTCTTTTCCCCTATGCCCCAGTGATTGCAGGTTCTTTGACATCATCCTGACTGATGCAGGGTCCATGGCCCTGCACTGGATGTGAGGAAATCAAAGCAATGTCCACTGCTGCAGTGTAGGAGAGCTATGTCTCCTGTGGCATCAGTAAATGTTCTTTTACCTTCCCCTGGACAGAAATGAGCTGCTAAATTGCAACTTGTAACCGCTTCCGCACTGCCCTATAGCAGAAATACCCTACCCGGGCCCTGCCCATGCTGCCATTCGTGGCCTCAGCTGTCAATCACTGGGTCTTGGCCAGTGATTCCCCGCCGGCACCCGGCAATCTCCAAGGATTTCCAACGGGGGGGAGACCTGTATATAAACAATACACATATCTCCCCTGTCAGCTCCTGCACACTGCTTTGTATGGCTCTGCGGCTCTGCATAGCACAGCCATGCAAAGCAGTGTGCTTACAGTGAAACACAAACACAGCACACACAGTAAAACAGCACACAGTTAACCCTTTGATTGCCCCACATGTTAACCCCTTCCTGCCCAGTGCCATTAGTACAGTGTCAGTGCTTTTTATTAGCAATGGTCACTGTATTGGTGTCACTGGGGGTGTCAGTGACACCATTGCTGTTCCCCTCAGTGTCAGAATGCCCGCCGCAGTCCTGCTATAAGTCGCTGATCGCCGCTATTACTAGTAAAAAAGAAATTCCAGTATATATACCGCCATTTGTAAACCCTATAACTTTCACGTAAACCAATTAATTTACAGATATGGGGATTTTTTTTTTAGCAAAGACATGTAGCAGAATACATTTTGGCCTACATTTATGACGAAATTTGATTTTTTAAATTGTTTATTGGACATGTTTAATAGCAAAAAGTAAAAAATATAGTTTAGTTTTAAAAATTGTCAGTCTTTTTTTGTGTACAGCGCAAAAAAATAAAAGCGCAGAGGTGATCAAATACCACCGAAAGAAAGCTCTATTTGTGGGGAAAAAAGGATGTAAATTTCATTTGGGTTCAGCGCTGCATGACTGCGCAATTGTCAGCTAAAGTAACACAGTGCCGTATCACACAGAATTGCCTGGTCAGGAAGGGGGGTAAATCCTCTGGAGGGCAAGTGGTTAATTTTGGATGGAGTGGAGAAGGTTTAGAACATTTGTCAGTTTCTCATTGCTGTCTGCGTCCCCATTAGATGGATTCACCTTTTCTATTTGTCCTGGAGACCGTTATTACCAAGAGTGAAAGTGAAAGAAAATCCAAAATTGGGGGTTGTCACCAGAAAAGGAATACAGAGGAACTAAATCAGCTGCTAAAAGTGCAAAAAAAATGTATCTCTTTAATTGTACAACCAGATTTTTAGATTACTATTAGAGCCAATAATATTTTACTTAAAAGAAATCTAAAGTTTTATAAAGTAATCAAGTAAAGTAAAACAGGAATTTACCTCCCTTCCCTTTTTTGTTCTGTGCCCTATATCTAATTTTGTCAGTTGCACCGTGTCTAGAAATTTTTATACAAATTACTTAAAAAAAAGTAACAAAAAGCAAAAAAGCAAACATGGTTAAATCTGAGAGCAGTGGGTGTTCATAACAGGGGAGACGTTTCCCAACTTGTTCCATGATATGATAAATACTGAATAACTGTAAGCTAACGTATATTATACGGACTAAATGATACACATATATATATATAATACATTAAACAGTAAAAGTTGTGGATATCCCATGTATAATGTACATACCAGACACTTGGACTGTGGCGGTAACGTTCTGTGATGTTTGCTCCAGGCACTTCTCTTCTGCTCTACACAAAAAGGGGAATAGGGTAAAAGTCAGAGAGATGTGGCAGGGTGTGTACTAGGTATTTTCCAGCCTGTATTATAAATGGTATCATTGATGTCACTTATCAGCTAGTCAATAATCTACCTTAGCTGACCAGCACCTTTGTCACAGGGGCGTATAGGATGTAACAGATCTGCATAGAACACGTCTAAACAAGACAGAAACAATTACGTAATACCTTGTGACTGTACAGTCAGCTGACATTCTTGCAAAACTAGTTATGTCTCATAGCTCATATAAATACCTCTTTTACAAAATAATCTGTTTAATGAAAACCAGAGGAGTGCATTTCTAGTAATAAAATGGTGTTTGACATTAGCTATCATCATTTTAGATGATGCGTGTTAAAGTACAGAAGGAAAAAATATCACTGGATAAATGGTTACCCCAGTAATGGTTTTAAGTGTATGAAAAGCCAACATTTCTTTTTCTTATTGATTTGAATAGGGTAGGGAATGGTTAAAATCAGTTGATTTATTGCTGTTTCCTATTGGGGAGATTTCCCTTCTGTTCCTATCTCAGAGAAACAACAGGAAGTTAGAGGAAAGTTCTACAAAGTGAGGAGAATTCCCTTTTTAGACAGTTGTCACCAGAATAAGGTTCCCCATTGGCAAGTTTACTATTGTCTTCTGGAGTGAAAAATGTTGCATTTCCTATTATTCTTTTTTTTTTTTTTTTTTTTTTTTATTTAAATATTTATTATTAGTTTTCACAGTAATAACAATAGTAAAAAAGATTAAAAAAAAACATTTGCATCTCGATCATCATAAATATACAATTATTTCTTATTACTTCATTTACCCCCCTCTTGAAACCTTGACCCCTCCCCCCCCCCCCACTCTGCATTTTCCTTATCTTATATCCAAAGCAAGCCTATCCTACCCAACTGTTCTCTATGACGATCTACTTTTCACTTTCTCACGCTTATTACAAAATTTTCCCATTTTTCCCATTTCGCGAGATATACCTCCAACTTATCTTCCTGAATATAATATGTCTTCTCCATCTTACTAGTCCAGTTTACTCTTTCTATCCACTCCTCCTCTGTCGGTATTTCTTTTTTCTTCCAATACTTGGGGATCAGGCTTTTTGCTGCGTTCAAATAGTACCCTAAACCTAATTTCTTATATTTACTAACTGATAGCTCTGAACTGTGTAACAGGCACATCCCTGGATCTAACCCGATGTTCATTTCAATGATGTTCTCTATTAAATATACTATTTTTTCCCAGAATATTTGAATCTTTGGACATTCCCACCAAATATGATAAACTGTCCCCACTTCCCCACACTCTCGCCAACACCACTGTGATTTCTCCGCACCTATCTTACACTCCACACTCGGAACAATGTGCCATCTTATCAAACATTTATAATTTGTTTCCACATCCCTCAAACTTACATTTCCGTGAACTAATCTATTTATATTCTTCTGTTTTCCTTCATCTAATACCACCCCCATATCTCTTTCCCAATTCACAAAGTGCAATGGTTTAGTGTTTGTGTCTAAATCTGTGAGGATTCCATATACTTTAGCTATTCCGTGTTTCCCATCACCCCTATTATTCCTATTATTTTCCTATTATTTTCTGTCTTGATTATCAGGAATAATAGAGGGATAAATCTTTTTAGGAGAGACACAGAATAAAAATCTTAGAAGAGTGGATGGTATGGCGCTGTAGCCACAACTCTTTTTCCCTACTACAACCCATAGTGTAATAATGGTATATGCTGTATGCTTGAAAGGTAGATATAAATTTGAAGCACAACACATTACTGACAAAGTCCAGAAGCAAGTTTATTCCAGTGGTTAAAAAAACGCATTTCAGAGGCTGATGTCAAACTCGGTTGTTCCATGTTCCAGTGCCGGATCTTTTCCCACCCCATCTTTCCTAATGACTTTCTGCGCATGTCTCTAGTGATCCTCTGTGACTCCTGCGTGTTCCCCGAGTTCCAAATTCCAGCGATCTTCTGTGACTCCTTGTGTATTTGTTACAGGATTATCGATGATCTGAGTGCAAGGTATGACAAATATTAAGCCTGCAGTATCCGTATCAAAGAGGAGAACAGAAAACTCATATTGCTCATTTGCATTCCAAGTTTAATGTGTCAAGCAAAAATGGATCACATTATACAGATAATCACTTTCTTTATAGCGCACACGCAGGCCACATGGAAAAGCGCATCAATTTGTGTTAGAGAGTTACCAATACTAACATATAGGATACCAAACAGAAAAAGTGAATATAAAAAAAAACTGAACAAAGATAGCATAAATCAAGTGTGACTAACCTGCATCAAAGAGAACACAAAACACATATTGCTCAGTTTAATTCCAAGTTTAATGTGAACTTGTTGGTATTAGTCTCCTGAAGTCACAGTACAAATTATTAGAGCTCCCTCTAGCTACAGCTTAGTCATAACATTACTGGTAGGTTTGTTTATATATTTGCTACATATTCCAGCTGACAACCTGCAACCAACACCTGTGTGCTTCAGTCAGCAACTTGTATCTCACCAACTGTGTGATTCTCTGTGTACTTCAGCCTATGACCAGCTTACCTATATCAATAACTTTCCTGTGCATCTCAGCTAGCATTCAGTCTTCCTTTACCTCTGTGACTCCCTGCATACTCTAGCCAATACATTGCAGCTGTTGTGTGATTCCTCTGTGTTCCAGCCAGTAGCCTGTTACCAGAATTTGTGTGATTCTCTGAGCACTCCTGTCTGCAACCAGTCTCCCTATACTCATGTCTCCAGTGCTCTCCAGACTCCCACTGCTACAAGAGACTGGAGACTTGTTCCTAATACTCATAGTGATCCCAGCATTTCAAAGCTGCAAGAGAGACTCATACCTGTATATCTATACTCTGTCTCCAATAGCTGCATGCTCAGGTGAGCCAGAGAACTTGGGTGTAATCAGCAGCCAAACCAATCTCCACCATCAGGAGCTGTGGTGAAGACCAGGTGGCTCTTTAGATCCTGCTGCTCAGCCCTTCTAAGGGCTCATACCTTCACTAATAGATTGTGCAGGCAGAGCTCTCTGTGTCTCCACTGTAAATTTACCACTGTCTGTCCTAGCTGCTATAACCTCTTCTTCAGCCAGTTTGCCCCTAGTGGGGACAGGTTCCCAATCAGTGACAGTTCAGTCTTGATGAAAGGCTTAGCTTCCGAAACGCATTGGCCTTTTAACACTGGAATAAACTTGTATCTAAACCTTAATCTTGATGGGGTTTAAATCCTTCCAAAACGATTCATACACTTTAGCGACTGCATGTGACACATCCTCATTTAGAGGAAAATATTCTTGTTGAATGGGTCAGTTATCACCATCTGAGAGAACTATGGGGCCTGCCATTGCTGATCGCTTTATAAAAATTCTCGTACTTACTTTCTGAGATAACAAGCACCAAGTTCAGGGGAGTGAGAATGTTAGTGCTGAGGAGCATGATTGTTCTGGGTCCATAACTCAGTAATGAAACCATTGGTAAAACATAACAACCAAGCAACTAATATTGAACAACTAGAAGCCAGCAATGGCAGCCACTATTGAACAAAAAAGGGGAGAAAATAGCCACCTAGCATGACATGTAAATATGTGTCTTATTGATATCTCCGTCTCACTAATAATTAGTGTGGATTTATAAACCCAATATACTTAACATAAAAAATAGCAGTATGACAATAATGGCAGCCACTATACTACTTCAGTACAGGTTTCCTAATAAATATTACAAGACCTACAGATTCAGGATGTGTATTTTGTGGAGTTATAAGCTTTTTGGGCACATTGTTTTGCAGCAAAAGGAAGAATAACAGATGACAGCTGTATAGG